GTTTATCCCATAAGGCCTCGAAAGATGGATGATGATAGCGCACGCTTTGACACAAGTTGTAAAAAGGGTGCTGTAATCACAACCATCACTACTAAGAATGGTTGACAAAATTCATATTTATCGCTAAGGGCCTTTTGATGAAATTGACGAAATTTGACGTAATTGATCAGCCAATCAAATTAAATTTATTATTATTACGAAATTTCCAAAATCATTTTCTTCAAAATCGTTTTCTCCACAATCACCTTCTCTAAAATCATTTTCTACTAAATTATTTCTTTCAAAATTATTATCTTCAAAACCTCATGATTTAAATCATTATCTCTATTTTGTGAATCATAATAAATAATTGTTTACTTCATCTTTTAAAATAATTGGATGTATGTTATTTGTTTTTCTCTCTTAAAGTTGAACATTCAGGCTGATACCCTTTTGAATTCCTATTGCTTCTTCAATTTCATCATTAATATTTTTTAAAAAATCTTCTTCCCTTTCTTTTGGTTCCAAGTTTTGTTTAATTATCATCTTCTTTTGCTCGATCCTTACTGGTTTCTTGATGTTATTCTAGTTTATTGAAAGAACTGTATAGTTTATAGTTGGTTATTTCGCAGGTTTCTGTGATATTTTCATAATCCTGGGAATAAGGTTGTGGGCGAAACTCCTCCAGAAATCAATCGGCAGAGTTACACATTAATTGTTTATTAGAGTTTCGGCAGAGTTTCGCATTTGGAGGTTTTGTCAATCGTCAGAGTTTTGACAAGGTATATATTAATTGTTCATTATAGTTTCGACAGAGTTTTGACAGTCACTAAGAGGTTTCGGCAAGCAACCTTATGTACGACTCATCATCATTCTAGTTAAATAATTAAATAAAAATAAAAATAAAGATTGGCCACTCAAAAATTATACGGATCTAAATTTATCATCACTTGCTTGTTAATTTGTAAATTTAAAAAATTAGATTGTGTAGGTTCTTTCACAAGTGATATTTTTCAGTGATATATTAATTCTAGACTATCCTTTGGAACATTCTTTATTGGTAAAAAAAAGTCTTTGTTAAGAGACTTTAGTAATGTTATTGTTTATGATTAAAGACATATCCAATAATTCTTATATTTCTAAATACTGTAACGATTGACACCTTGTCCTAAAAAAAGATTGTTGCCAAACTTACAAAAAAAAGGAGAATGAACGTTCTAGAAGGTTGTGCACAGCCTTTAGACCTTGATCGAATTATTATGGGATGAAGATAAGGATGAATTATAATTTTTTTTTTTTTAGAAAATAATGGCAACAAATTCCTCGCGAAGAATATTTGAAAATGCATCATAAAGCAAAACTTTAATAATTATATTCGTAGCCACAAGGACCAGTGCTTCCAATTGATATATAAATCACAAATATTTACCAAGCCAGATATATATTTCTCAAATAAACTACCAAATAACGTAACCATGGATCCCAAGCAACAAAATATGTTCTCCTTCGTACATTTATATTTACATTTTTTTGATATCTATCCTGTGGTTAAAATCACGTGTTGAAATATTATCAAAAATATTCCCATGGACAAATGACACGGGGATGGTTAATTTCTCTTGAAATCAAAAATAAAATTACAACAGTAATAATAATTAATGGCTAATGGCTTCAAACTTTTTAAAACAAAATATTGCAGTAAGTAGTAGAAATAATGATTTTCAAAAATAATAATAAAATAAACTATTACTATATTTTATTTAGCTTATTCCATTGCTTGCCGCAGCTAGTGGAGGAGTGGTCGTAGGTGCAGCGTAAGTCCCTTTTAATTATATATGTTTAATATTTTATCTTTTTTTATATCATCAATATTGAAATTTTGATATCGAAATCAAGATACGGGATTTACGTATTAACGACATGTCCTGATGTGGTTTTAAAAAGATTGGATGAACAACAACCTTGGAATAAAATCAAGCAACATCAAATTATAAAGTAAAAAGTTTTATAATAAATTGATTGAAATTCACCGTAAGGCCTCGAAATTACAGCACCCTTTTTACAACTTGTGTCAAAGCGTGCGCTATCATCATCCATCTTTCGAGGCCTTATGGGATAAACAATTTAAAAGCGATGTTAATTCTTTTTCTTTTTATCTAGCTTATGACGATCAATAAAGAGTTTTTCGACTCTCGTAAAGTTTTAGAGTCACCTTCAAAACGTTATTAAACAATATCTTTAAATTGTTTCTTTTAGTAAATATTAAATAAAATTTTTAGATATATTTTATGAGAATTTAATAAAATTTAAAATTTTTATTATTATTAAGTTATATTATTGGTGAAAATATATAATACTCGCACAATTTATTTCCGATCCAGAAGTTTACATAATTTGTGGTCTAAAATACCGTTGTAATTTATTTGCTTTGACTCCAATGCGTGTATCAAAATTCTGTTGACGTCTTTTATCTTGATATTTATTTCGTTGAAGAATTTTAAAATTTTTTTCACCATCATGTGTGATTAACACACCTCCAGATTGTTGTGAGTAACCCATACTATTGGCATAATGAGTTATCAATTTTTTAATTATTGAAACGTCATTATTTCCCTATTATTATCATCATCACCATCATCATGAAATAATAAACAAACAAATTTGGTTGATTGATTGATTAATTAATTTGCAATAAAATTAATAAAGTTTTCCAAGTAAAATCTTTTAAATACCTCTCTATTACGGAGATTTTGTTTATAATATCTTGCCAAGGAGCGATGACCAATACGTGCACCTGAAGGCAACACTAATTCCATTTTATCTTGATATATCATGTTCCTATTCAATATATTTCACAGATTATTAGATTATTTATTTAGATTATTTATTTATTTATTCATAAAGAAATAAATTATTTAATTAACAAAAAAACTTTTCAATACCTTTTTGGTAATTCATCCTCATCCTCGTCATCAATATCTTCCCACTCATCATCATCATCATCATCATCATCATCATCATCATCGGCAACATTCACATCGTTATCATCATCAATATCCAGATCAGAATAGCTAGATCTAAAATCATAATAATCAGATATTTCCATAATATCATCTTCTTGATCATAAATTATCATAGTATGACCTTTTATCAATCTAAATAATAAATTTTTTTTATTAGTTGAAAACTTGAAAACTTATTTTTTTCTTGGTAAAAAGAAAAAATTTACCATGTGTTTTTTAACAGCTTCAAGACTTTGAAAACTCTTTTCCACGTCCATTACGGTAAAGGCATACATTACCGACCGAAATCTTTTCTCCTAAATATTTAATTAATCCATGTATATCAACTAAATATCCAATTTCAGGTATGAAGAAACTATGAACTTTAGTCATATGAGTGATATTGTATCGGACTTATGTGTACAGAACAAACAATCCATCTCTCCTAAACAAATAGAAGTTTCTATCTTTTTATCCACCAATAATAAAGTGCTTGTCTTTTAAATTTTTGTTTTAAATAACAATTATAATAATATTAGCATACATTTAAATCAACATAAATTTTATTTACTAAAGGTTATCTTTATCTCATCTTCATAATTTAAAAGGTCCCCAAGACTTTTTGAGTAAATACTTCCAAGGTTACAGGTGGTAATTCGACAACCTTCCCTTTTAAATTGTATCGATGTCAATCTGAAACATAATGATTTCGTTGAATTTCAACAGAACAAAATCAAGCTTGACAAGTTAAACAAATAAAAAGTAGAGTTCGGGTTGTTGTTGATCGGTCATATTGATTCCAAGTTGTAGCCATCTAATTCGATGATCGACATAAATTGTATAACCCGGTATTACTTGAAAATGGACTTTTTCAATTATGCAATAATAAGATTTATTAGGTAATTGTTCACTTGGTAGTATTAATATTAGTCTTCCGGCTTTGTTTTTCTTTTCTTCAAGTATAACCTTTTCGACTTTTTTTTCTTTAGCATTATTTCATTATTTTCCCGCAAACTTTATCCAACTCATTCAACCTCTCTAACCTCCCCCTTCCAACCTTTCATACTTCTTGTTTGCTCGCTCCAATTCCTTTTATATTTTTCGATAATAGACATTTTTTTTGCAAAGTAAAAAAAATTAATTAATTAATTGTTCCTATGCATAATTTTGACCAATAGTAAATGGACTACTACTCCTGAAAAAAAAAAATATTCAGAGTATATACTTGCATAGGAGGAAAATACTCAGATCCAAAGCCATTTGTGAGTTTTACCTATTTTTTGGGCACTCTGACAAAAATATAGCTTTCATTATTACTATTCTTTTGATTATAACTTTTAATAATATCATTATTATTACTAATATTAGTATCTTCTATGTCACTCTTTGGTTTTTTCCTTATTAATCTATTACTGGGTTGCTTCTATTGTTTCCTTCTGGGATTCATTTTTCATTGGTAAATAGAAATTTTTTATTGTAGAAGCAGCAACTCCTTTTCCTTTGCTAAGTAATTTATAGATTTTCACCATCATTTTTTTACTAAAGGAAAATTTGAGTATAATTCGATCATTTTATCAAACAATTGTTTGAAATCCTTTCAATTTCTTCTGAATATTTTTTATTGCTAGAGGTTGGTTTGATTTATTTTTGATTATGATTTTCTTGGCTTTATTTTATTGATTATTTCATCAATTTTATTGATTCATGTTATAAAATTGGTTTATAATAAAAGATTCTTCACCTTTTTATATCTTGAAAAGTCCTAATTTTCAAAAATATATTTACTTTCTAAATCCCAATTCAAACCTTTCAAACACAAATTTAATTAAGGAATTAATAGTGCATCTGTATAATACTTCATCTAATGAAATTCAAAACAAGCTTGTTGGTACTTGCCAATTTGCTTCATTGACCACAGATTTTTGGATTGCTTTGCATCAAAAAAGGATATATGAGTATAGCTTGTTCTTGGCTCTCTGAAAACTTTGGATTAACTGAGACACTTTTAAACTTATTTTACATTCCCTATCCACATACAAAATTTATTAGAGAAAGAAATATTAAAGTGGCTACAGAGGAAAAGATCATTTCTATCACTGTTGGTAATGACAGTAATATGGTTTTAGGCTCTAGATTATTAAAAAATTCATTAAATATTGAAAGAATTCTTTGCGAAGCTCATACATTGCAAATTTGCATTAAAAGGGCACTTAATTGCAATGATAGTATCAAAGTATTAGTTCTAAGGATGAGAAGATTTATGCTATTTCTCAACTCCCCAAAACAGTTGGAGGCATTGTTCAAACCACAAGAGAGATAGATTAAAGGAAGATTAACCAGAAAAACTAAAATCAATATATGATGTATAATTCATGGGTGAAATTGTTAGATCTCAAGGAAGCCATTATTATTATTTTACAAAATCATATGATGTTGGAGATAAGAAATAAATAGAGACGGGAAATTATAATAGTTCAATTATGCAGCCTGTTTATTAAAAATTATATTTTTAACAAACACCTTTAATCTGTCCTTTTCATTGTTTACCCGCGAATAATGAAAAGGAGCAGCAGGACGGATGGTAATGGCATAGTAACCCGTTCTTTTCAGATTTGCCCATGAATAATAGAAAAGGACGGGGGACGGGTTTCTGCGCCTTCACCACGCCACATCTGTTCCATGTTAGTTACCCGTCCTTTTTTACATTATTTTGCAGAATACCCGTACCATCACCCGTCCTTTTCTAGTATTAATGGGCCAAACTTGAAAAGGACGGGGGACGGGCAAGTGTGGATTGAACCCGCCTCCGTCGTTTTCTGGCATCCCTTTTATTATCACTATTATTATTATTATTATTACATGTTCGGAATTCATGTCATAAATACCGAAACACTAAATTTATTATTACTAAATTTAGAAAGATCGACGATTTTTCTAACAATTACAGAATTAATAAACTGATTATATTCAATAATCAATAATTTTTCTTGTTTTCTTAATGAAATTTTATTAGAAGGTAAGATTTATATCATAATTAGAGTCCAAATTTTTTTTTTATAATTTTTTTAAAATTATTTATTTAATAATTATGTTTTAACACATATATTTGTAGATTTCATCCATCCACCTTAATATTACTACTGAATATGTATAAATTATATTAATATTATATTAAT